TAAGTGTAATTTCTCTAAAAAATCAAAAGGTATTGTTGACTTACCCTTTAATCCGGATCCTTGTAGCACGATTGTCTTCTCCATTACCCCCATTGGCACTCACGAATCACTCGAAATTTTAAAAATCGCGCACTACTAAATGTCTATTAGACACTCGAAACAACACAACACACCCCCATTTCAATACGATTTCGCACAGAACCACCAAATAATAAGTTATAATTTATTCGGACAAGTGATTCGTACGAGAGCTCARCTAAGACTGACTCGTTATTGTAATAATTTTCTCGAAAACGGCACAAAAACTATTTCGTAACAGTTCCGGTGTAAAAGGCCTTTGTTCGAATATAGGATGTTCCACATAATTTTACGAGGCCTACGCCTGAAGATAATAATACATATTCCGATACGAACTCGATTACAAATTTTGGAAAAGTGGATAATCTTCTCTAGTTTGTTCTGTTCTGTGACTTTTGTATATTTGGGTGCGTACATTAGGCGCAAGCCTCGCAAAGTTATGTGAGACACCCTGTATTACCAAATTCTACGTCATCATTTTTTCCGTCCTTTMCACTTGTTTACAGAACAAAGGGATTTTTAGTCGTACAAATACACATTTTTTCTAACGTGACGTCACGGAATTTAACCCAATCAAATCTTTCAAATTTCTGAAATTCAACCAATCAGATTAAAATTACGCGATAATGTCCTGGGTAAGTCTACGCTATCTTGTGTATGACTTGCTATAATTCACCAACAATGTTAATACACACCAATTTTTGTGTGAATTATTGTTTTTATAACTTTATAATCGCTGTCAATTTGTGATGCTATTCTGTATGTATCTTTCCTGTTAAAATTTTAAATACCCCCTTTATTTTTCACCTTTAAATACTTTTTTATATTTTTTTAAAGGGTACTTTGTGGGTAGCATTTATAGATTTTATCAGCGTCAATTACGAGATACCACAAATCTATTTATGTACTTTGAATGATGCTTTTATTTCGTTTAAATAAATTTTGTTTTTAAGATTTAGTCAATGCAGGTTATGCAAAGAGCACAACGAAATACTAGAATACCAGTGCCTTAGAGCATTGTACTTTTTTGGGCATGGTAGTTACCTTACTTGAATAGGACATAGTTACTCGATGTCACAGAGCTAGCCTAATTTAAGTAGGAATATTAATGAGGTGACCAATGCAATTATTCAATGATTAATTAATATTTGGGTAAAATTTCTTGTTAATGAAGTTGTGATTGTAATTATTGACTGTGCACATATGAAAATTATTTTTCCCCCAGAAGAACATTCTTTATATCCAGGTCAACCATATTATTGTAGCAAAGAATATTACTGGCCAAGGATTCCAAACATTTTTCGTTTTCGATTTCTTGCTATGCCTGCAAACTGAGGCTCAACAATTCTCTTTTTTTGTCTTTTCTGAATCTTCTTATTTTGGATTCTTTAGAATGAGTTTGATCTAAAATGTGCATACCTTATGTGCACCTCTTTCTGTCCTTTCGTCATTTGTGCCAATCTTTCTTTAAGCATTTTGAACGTTTTTTACGGAAAATGACAAATAAAACTGGCTTGACATTTTTTCGTAGTCGGCTCATCATTTAAAACCAGCAAAAATAGTTCATTTATAACAAAATAATAACATTTCCTCTATTTAATACGATGAAAGCCGAATATTTTAAAGGGTCCGTTTAAAAAATATATTTTTAAATGAGCATTTAATTTTATGCATACAGAATAGCTTACTTAAATTTGGGGGTTTAAATATTTAAATTTAAAGGTACTTTTATTTTTTAATAAGTATTTACAGAATAGGCCCTACTGTCATGTACTTTTAAATTATTTACCTTTATAATATTCACAAACTTGACATAAAATAACTCAATAACTGTCATCAGTGATTAATTCTTAAAAATATTTTATTAGTTTAACAATTTTGCAGTAGTAAAGTAGATTTTAGTGAAGGTTTTTCTACGTTTAACAGAATTTTTTGTAACTTCGACATAAAAGTAAGAAGAAACAAAATTTGTATAAAGAGTGAGTATACCGATTCAGGGGATAAGAAACGGATATTAAAAATATGTGTTTTTCCTAATTGCACTTTGGTATTACGAAAACTTCAGAATATGGTGTTTCTATTTTAGAGTAGATCTTAATTTTTTATGCATTTCTTTGGTGGTCAAGACCCAAAAACATGCTTCTGTTATGGGTCAGGTGGCAGAAGTGCTAAAACTACCTTTTTTCCATCATTCTGTTATTTATCAGATATAAAAAAGTAAACTAAGAAAATTTGGAAAGAAGGTATTAATAATAATAAGATATGTATTGAGGACTATGTCTATGTCTCGGTATCATCTCACAACATTTATTCATTAAACTTGAAGCTTTTGCAAGTTTTGTTAAAACCATATCTCTTGTGAATGTGACAACGCAATAATCTTACATAAACATTAAAAAATTGATAATCTGACTCATCCAATATCGTCAACTCTGATCGAAGCAGTGCGATGAATAATATAAACTATTCAATAAATTAGATACTTGTACTAATTATAATAACCCATACAGTGGGTATTCCTCGGCACAGTTAAACGGACTGAGGAAACTCATGAATAAATAAACGATAGATACTTGGCTGTACTATGGAGGTCTGTGATAGGGGCTGGTATAAAACTATAAAGTTGCAAAATAATCAATATTTAGAAGGACAAAACCGTACAGTTGCTAGTCGAATCAAACCAACCTGAGTTAAAGGTGGTGCTGTGTAAGGTTATAACGGCCACGAATTAAATATGGCTAAAATGTTATTTTTGTAATTATGGACTGCGTCGAAACTTTTCTTTTATTTTTCATAGCATGAATCGCTATATTACTCTTCATCAGTTAGGAGATGGCACGTATGGATCGGTGGTTTTGGGACAGAGAAAGGATACGGGAGAGAAAGTGGCGATCAAAAGGATGAAAAGAAAATATTACTCATGGGATGAAGCGATGAATTTGAGAGAAGTCAAGGTAAAACTTCGGTAAATTATAATTGAAAATTTTGACAAAAATGCTATTACAGTCTCTGAAAAAACTACATCATTCCAATGTTGTTAAACTTAAAGAAGTGATAAGAGAAAATGACGTTTTGTATTTTGTTTTTGAATACATGCAAGAAAATTTGTACCAGTTGATCAAAGATCGTCGAGTGCCTTTACCAGAAGCAACAGTAAGGAATATGCTTTATCAAGTGAGTCATTAGTTTTTAATTTTTTACAATTTTCAAATATCTTTTAACTCCCTGAAATATATACAGGGTGAGTCCAGTGAATAAAAAGTATGGAACCAAACGTAAATTATTATAAAAAACTAATTGTTGAATGATAATAAAGTACTATAAAAATGTGACGTTTCATCAAGTATAAAATTATTCGACATTTTCTTTTGTTTTTGGATTCTGCAAAATTATTTCTTTTTAATAGCATATATTCCATTATAACACGTTTTTTACAAAGGCTGTGATCTAAAGATTACAACTATACATTTTTTTATTCAATTTTTATCGAAATTTTTTTAATGTAAGTTGCCATTTTGACAAAAAAATCGCACAACTCAAAAACAAAACAAAATTTCACTCTCAAACCACGATCACAAGTTTTATAGAGCTTTAATTTTTTCTAAAGGCAAAAAATGCTTGGTCTCATACTTTTTCACCTTATAAAATAAACAAATTGTTTACGTAAATCAGGCGTGATAAACTAATATTTTTTTTTTCTATTTCTAATATTTATTTATTTTTTCTAATCATATTGAAGCATTTGTACTTTTCTCATACGTTTTCAGTTAATAAAGTTTTTTATGGAATCTTCAACTATAGAGAAAATTGAAAAAAATATATGTTTTAAAATTAAAAATTAAAATTACTACAGTATTAAACAACTTTTTCACTCGTTGAATAATGAACTATTATTACACAATTATAGATAAGTACACCTCTCTGAATTAGGTCAGGTGTTACATTACTTACATTATTTAAATAAAATAAAAATATATATCTTTTCGTTAGAATAAAAATAAAACAAGTGCATTATTAATATTTTTTTTATAAAATAGTGTTTTTTCAATTCTTTTCTGATCAATGATCATTAGACCAAGCTATTAATTGCTGTCATTTTTCAACAAAGCATATTTTTATCAGTTTGATCATTTTGTTAATGTTCATTTGTCTGAAGCTACATCAATTTTATTCACTGTTATATATCACTATCAAGTGTTATATTTAGTAACTCGACAAGGTCAGAACGAAAAAATTAAATCAAATGGATATATCATTTATCATCGTTATTATGTATCTCCTTTGTATGATTTCAAACAAAAACCGTAATAAAATAAAAAAATTGACGTTGAAAAATGGCATGACGCGTAATTTTTTTCAATGCAGATTGTTTTGATAAAACTGAAAAAAAATTCAAATAAGATGCAAATTTTTGAAGGTCATAAGTATTTAATAAATAATGTACATAATTTAGATGTCTCAAAAATAAAAAAATGTGGATCAATAAAAATATTGGTATACGAACACCTAGCACATGAAACTTGAGAATTTATCGTTTTCATGATTGTAATAAGAGAGTAAATATTAGCAAGAAATTTAGACAAAACCAACAACAAATTAATAATTTTCGTGGTAGTACATTTTTCAAAATAAAGAAAACCGTAATAAAATTTAAAAAATGACGTTGAAGAATAGCATGACGCGTGATTTTGTCCAATGCAGATAGTTTTGATAAAATGAAAAAAAATTCAAATAAGATGCAAATTTTTGAAGGTCATAAGTATTTAATAAATAATGTACATAATTTAGATGTCTCAAAAATAAAAAAATGTGGATCAATAAAAATATTRGTATACGAACACCTAGCACATGAAACTTGAGAATTTAACGTTTGCATGATTGTAATAAGAAAGTAAATATTAGCAAGAAATTTAGGCAAAACCAACAACAAATTAATAATCTTCGTGGTAGTACATTTTTCAAAATAAAGAAGACACCGTTTTCGATATTTAATACTTCTGTACAGCAATTTTTTTAAACTTTGAACATTCTTATGGCACATCAAAAAATTCAAAAATATGAGCAGGCAATACAAAAATTTCTGTTTTTATTTTTTTAATTATTGTTTTTAGCAAAATTTTTGCTATTACTTCATTTCTTACTGTGGAGTATTTCATGTTCTATCTGCCTGTAATTTTTCTCTTTGTCTTCATTTAAATAAAGCATTTTTTTCGTTGTTTTTAAATTATAGACACGCTATTGAGAGTATCATTGAGTGACAGCTTTTTAAAACTAAACATGGGCCTATGTATGTTCAGAGTTAAAAAGTGTTTAATTAAATCATTTTCTGTAATTAAAAAAAAATTCAACTAGGACGAGTTTTTTTAATCATAAAATACGATAACAAAAATATAGTAGGAAAATTATAATCATACAATCCACGACTGTAATCTCCTCGTATTAAATATGCAGCTGGAGAAGAATTCATTATGAAACAGTTACCTAAAAGAGTAAAAAAGAAGGATACCAAATTTGGTGGTTTGATATTTTACTTTGATATTTCGATATTCTAGAAAAATATAAGGAGTAATTAGTATTTTTGTTAGAACCTGATAAGTATATTTTTTTGGATCAAAAACATAATTTGTTTGGAATATGAATGTACTAGATACCGCAACCAATTTTGGAACGGATATAACTACCAATTGCCTATATTTTTTCTAATAATTTCAATTTTGTGTGACTAGTTATTTTCGATAGTTGTTAAATTGTTGATGTGTAGGTGGATAAGTGATGAGTAAAATGCGATAGCATTACGAAAATAAAATGTAAGTCCACATCTGACCTTAAATCGCACTTAAGGAATGAAAATAATGATTCTCAAATAAAAATAAAATATCACTATTGTTCTCTTATATTTAACGAATAAATCATTGATGTTTTTTGCAGATATTGCAAGGACTAGCCTTCATTCATCGACACGGCTTTTTTCACCGAGACTTGAAACCCGAGAACATCCTTTGCTCAGGCCCCGACTTGATCAAAATCGCCGATTTTGGTTTGGTTAGAGAGATCCGATCCCGTCCTCCGTACACCGATTATGTTTCGACTAGATGGTACCGAGCCCCTGAGGTACTTCTTCATTCTACCACCTACAGCAGCCCCATTGACCTTTGGGCAGTCGGATGTATAGCAGCCGAAATTTATACCTTCCGACCGCTATTTCCCGGGACCACAGAAACAGACCAATTGTACAAAATATGTGCCATTCTTGGGACTCCTGACAGGGTACAAAACCAACAACATTAAACACCAAACTGTAGCTCTTTTGTAGAAACAATGGCCGGAGTGTTACCAATTAGCCGGAGCTGTCGGATTCAAATTCCCGTATTTTACCAAAACGCCACTTGGGGATGTTGTGCCTCAAGCAAATGCGGCTGCGATTGATCTAATGGATGGCTTTTTGAGCTGGAACCCTGCTTTTAGGCCAACTGCTCAATCTGCTTTGAAGCACCAATACTTTCAGGTGCTTTCTTTATAATAATCCTTGTGAAGAAATTTTAATAAAGACGTTTGTTGTAGGTGGGTCAACAGTACAATGTTATACACTCTGGAGTTCGTCAAAACCAAGCCAATCCAATGCAAACGCAGCCTCTTGTGATAAAAAATGAGCAAATTTATCCGTCCAAACAAGTACAAATTCAACCAAGTGCACGAAGTACGCGAAACCAATACAATCAACAAATGATGGCACCCCCGCTTCAACCATCGGTGCAAATCAACATTCAATCGTTGATAAAACCGATGCAACAGCCGGAGAAACCACAAAACCCTCCTATAGTTTATAGTTTTGGACAGTCTGACTTTGCAAATAAATTTTTTCCTGCGAATAATAATCAGTCGAATAATAAAATGAATAATAAGAAAATTTCATGGGGGTTGGATGATACAATAGACTATAAAGAAGACGATTTTGCAGATATTTTAGGGTGAGTTTTGATTATTTGTCACTTTCAAAATTGTTAATTTCATTGCCTTAAGGAGTAAAATTAAAACTCACACTACGGATAAATCAAAAGAAAACAAAATTAATTTGAGCCAATATAATCTCCAAGATATTCTTGAACCTTTAGCCAAAGCGAGTGCTGGGACTGCCAGAAGTCAGTATCTCAGTGTTTCAAGGTATGTAGCTGGACAACCTTCTGGTGTACGAAGAGACTCAAATATTAGCCTTATGTCTTCATTCTCAACAACTAGGAAGGATAGTGGATTGTATAGCAACAAACCTAGTATGTTGTCCAAATTCTAGTACAGTACAGTATTCTTGATTTTCCACAGGTAAAGTAGAGCTACCATCAATTTGGAATGACCCTTTGACCAGTTTAACTTCCTCTAAATCGAGACCTATTGAAAATGTTAATAACATAACTGCTGACTGGTTGACTAAATAGCTCAAACATTCGAACAACTAAAACAACTGAAATATTATAAATGATTGAGAAAAATCAAAAGTCGTAAAAATTGTACGTAGCATTACTGAACCAACTTATTTAATATATTCAGCAAAATGTATTACATATTTTTTGGAATGTTTCATTTAAAATGTTGAAATAAAAAACATATTGAATATTTTTATTACTCATTCTGTTACCCGTTAATGCTTTATTAGATTTATTGTGAGATTTGTAATAAAAACTGATTTTTTTCGATTTTTGAATCACTGTGATATTGCATTGATTGTAGCAGTACAACAATTAGGAATTTAAAGCAAAATGTACTCATTTAAGTGTTTTAAAGAGTATTAATAATTTAATTCTAGTGGTAATTGTTTTTGAAATCGTTCTATAATTAACAGAAGGAAAATTTAAAAATGACTTGCAAAAAATGCACGTGCGCCATCTATCCAAAACAGGGTTAAGTTTACCGACAACGTCAGTTGCAAATGCAGCAGAGCAGTAAACTACAGCAAAATTTAAACTGTCAATAACCGTTTTAAACTGTCAAAACAAGTATTGTTTAAATTTTATTTTATTTTAAATGTTTGGAATGGAAAAAAAGAGTGACAAATGTGAGGCGGTTTCCAATGTATGTGCAAACAATGTATTACAAACGAAGAAAAAAAGAAGAAGCTCTTTATTTGGAAATTATAACATTAATAACAAACAAAGTATTGCTTTTAGTTTTACAAAGAAAAAGACTAACTTTAATACATTCTAGATTCAAATTACCGAAACTGGTTATTAAATGAGATTGAGGAATATGTGAAGCAACAGAAACAATTGCAAGAGTGAGTTTCATCAAACTCTTTGGAGATAAACTTTAACTTAAAATTCTAGAACCGTTTCTAATAATAAACTGCAAGCTACAGAAAAATGCGATATTGCAAGTATTTTAAAGAAAAAAGATTTGACTTTGACTGATGTGGACAACTATACGGATACTGCAACGAGTTTTATAAACAAGCACGTTATTTTTATGGAAAGACAGAAATATATGACACAGAAGATTAAAGAATTAGGTGCTAAGTTTATTAAATAAAATGAAATGTACAAATTCTGACCAAAGTGGTAGTTTCTTCATTTTTTAAAAGGGAATTTACCAAACACGACCACAAACATTTAACTAAACACTTTTATTTTTTTCTATTACATTACATTTGATTTAACTTATATTTCTGTGTGCAAGGCATTACATTGTTCTTATGTAGATGCGTTAACAGTTTTGATTCAATCAAATCAACTGCAGCCCTTGTCAACACCAACGTGTCATGTTTAAGCATTGAGTAAACATTGAGTCCATAAGCTGGCATTAAATTAAAATGTTTAATTGGGTCAGTTGCTGCTGTAATATTCCTTGGCATTATATCAGACCTAAAACACCAAATTTAGCCAGTCAAATACCTACAAAAAACATACATACTCATCCACAAATAGGACTGAAGGCCCCCACTTCCTGCTCTTAACTAATTCCTCAAGAAAATTTGGATCATCAGTTGGTATCTCTAAGTCTGTGATTACATGTAAATCGTCCTGAGCCAACTTAATTGACAACGTTGAGGTCAATCCGTGAACCCTGGTATAAAATGGCAACATGTAAAAATGTGGAGTGGGTGATTTGGGGCCGTGGATCACTCCACCACCCCTAAACAAGGGACTTCGTATCGACCCATGGCGAGCTCTTCCTAAACCTTTTTGGGGCCAAGGCTTACGGCCTCCTCCTCGCACTTCAAACCTCGATTTTGTGTGTGCATAACTCACATAGCGATACAAAGATTGCCATCGTACGTTGTCGTGGATTAAGTCAATTCGGGGGTTAGCTGCAAACACCTCAGGATGCAGTTCTAGTATAGCGAGTTTCTTTTCTTCAATCGTGTCAAAGTTTTCTAACCAAACTTGACGAGGTTTTTGGTACTTTGGGGGGAAAGCTAGTTGACGAGGCTCGATTTGAGATTTATTAGGAATTGAGGAAAAGGAACGGACTGTGCGAACGCAAATTCTTAATTTGGGAACTGTACCAGAAAACATTTTTGCAGTTTTCGAAGCCTACAAACATAACCTATGTTATACACACATAACCTCATTATCATTAACGCCTAAGAGTATGCAACACATAATATAGTGATGTCAACTTTTTATGTAGTTTAGATGGAATACACAAATTATCTTTTATTTTGTGTGGTAAGTTGCAGTCTTAATTAAAAATGGGCCATACTGATAAAATAAACAACCAATAATTCGTCGGAAATTGTTTATTATAAAAGAAAACAGTGTTGCATTATTTTAAACTATTGTAATTCATTTCCCACGAACAAACCATGGATGTCCTGCAACAAAAACAATAATTATTACATTGCTTAAACAACCTAAGTAAGTTTTTAAATCGATTCAAAAAAATTTTAAGTGTGGCTGTATTTATATAAAAAATATGAAATTGGATTAAATCTTATACATTTATCGTTACATCTTGTACAGTTATACAGTAAAAAGTTCACCTTAAACAAATTATCTTAATCTTCTAGCTTCACGTTCAGATTCCAAGAGGGTAAGAATATCCCCTTCTCTAACTGGGCCCTTAACATTGCGGATAATTTGTCGGTTTTGTTCTCCAATGAACTCAACCTTAACTTGTGTACATTGCCCCTGGGAACCAGTACGGCCTAGAACCTTAATAACACGTGCCAAAACTACTGGCTTATCCATCTTTTAAGTATTTTTTGAGTTGCAAACACGTGCACCACAAACAAGATGACAGTTTCGTCAAAAAAGAACGAATCGTAGTGCACATGCGTTGTTGTGTCTTATGTCGATAAAAACGAAATCGTTTTCACGCGCCAAGTTCAAATTGTAAGCCTTTTTATTTTATAGAATTTTAATTCTTTTTTTATTTGATTTATATGATGATTTATATTGTATTTGGGTCTTATTAATGTTGCAAAATTTAGCAAACATCGTTTAGAAAATTTTCGTAAACGAAAACATGTTGACACACTTTCATTACAAAAATTACCGATTGAGACCAACCAATTGACTACTGCAATCGTGGTTAGCGATAAGAATAAATGGCGTTTTTAATATTTGCTAACCTGTTAATGATGCAAAAAGCTCTATTAAAAATGTGTTTGTAAAAGTGTTCCAGTTAATTTGAAAGATGTGAATTAGTTGTGACTGAATTTACAAATTATGTACTGCCTTCAGTGGCTTATTCCCGTGTTGTTGATGCCCAAACCTTCAAACCCAGCCCTGGTGCAAACCCATGTTATGTTCATGGTCTTGTATTTAATTGGATTTTTCCTGGAGAGAAAACCCTGCACAATATGCAGTTTAGTGTTTCTAGCTACAGTATTTTTGATTTGCTACAGCGGCATGGGGAACTGTCTGTTCTGGGCCTCCTTTTGTGAAAACGAAAATGGTTAGCTGAGCCACCAAGTCTATTTTTTATCCAAATTGAGGTAAAGACAGCCCTTTTTACTGTATCAGGACCTCGTGATTATTTATTATGTTTTATGCAATTTTTCTGTACATAAATGACTATTATGTTTATATTGTTATTTATTAAGAATGGCATCTGTTTTTCTACCAAAGAAGCCTTTTTTGATATGTACATAATTTGTAACGATCCTATAATTTTGTGATTTTCAACAATGTTGAATTAGAAACACCAATGATGAGCATAATGTGCCACTTGTACAGTATGTTTTAAAATAAATCTTCCAACAATTTTGTCCAGTTACTTTATAATTATTGTAAAAAGTATGTTATGTTAGATTCTTTACTTGCTTTAAATAAATTGATGCTAAACAATTAACAATTTTATTTTTGGTCAAAATACTCCTTAACAAGTTTCACGGCTGATTTGTGATTAGATAAGTTTGTGACCTTGGCTTGAAACTTGTTGCCTTGAGCAGCACCTTTACCTCCCAACAGCTCACAAATACTAAAAAAACACAATTAACATAAAAAGAATGATTACCAAATTATTCATACTTCGGAGACAAATCAGTAATTGCTTTTTCGTTACCATACAAGACAATATTCCCAGCACCTTTTTCATCACCAACTGACAAAAACTGGAAAATATCAGTTCTCCCAGCCTCTTTGATCAAAATACTCATAAAAGTAGGATCAGCTTCTTTGCGATGCAAAATAAAATATTTCTCTTTACTCTCCTTCAGTTTGGCAGCTTCATACACTGCCAAGTCTTTCAAAACCGTTTGTAGGTTTTTGTTAAGGCTTTTGGTATTTTGTATTAACTTTTCCACAAATTCTGGGTGTTGGACGGGATTTGTTCTAAAAATTAAACACTAACTTTCGAGTTTATTACTTTAAAACTCACTTCAATAATGCCGTCAATTTTTGTTCCCGCTTTAAGCAATTATTCAAACGATTTATGACTCTATTACCGATTAAGAAATACAGTAGGACTTTATCCTTTCTTTTACTTTTTTCCGAATGTAATAATTTGATTGCTTGCAGTTGACTCAAATTTGCAACATGGGTGCCACAACACATGTTACTGTCAATACCTTCAATGGTAACAACTCGTATATCACCCACGTGGTCTGCTGGAAGATCGCGAGCGCTGCGATACTAAAAAGAAAATTGACGATTTTCAAAAAATATATATAAACGTACATTTTCTAGTTTTTCTGGGGGTGTATTTTCATCAAAAATGTCAACAACGACTGGTCGATGTTCCCTAATAAGCTCGTTACAAATGTTTTCAACGTGATCAATCTGTTCTTGAGTAATTTTGGGTGTATCTTTAAAAATACAATTATTTCAAGCGTTCAAACCATAAGAAAATCTATACCTAGTTCAACATATGACACTTCTTCCCCCAAATACCAGGAGATTGTATCAAACTTGAATTCTCTGATTAATATGGCAGAGATCAAATGTTGGCCTGAATGCTGTTGCATATTATCCAATCTACGATTCCAATCAATGACTCCTTTAACATCATCACCCACATTGAAGGGTTTTTCTACGAAATGTACTGCTTTATCGCCTCTACGACTTACTTGGTACACGGGTTGGTCATTCAAAAAACCATGATCACAGGGCTACAATTGTTTATTTATACGTGACAGTGGAAGAAAAAGTTAAAAACCTGGCCGCCGCCCTCAGGAAATAAAACAGTATTTTCCAAGATGACCTCATATCCGTTAATTTTAACATTTTTACCGTCAACGGTTGCATCAAATTCACTTTTATCACATGAGATTACTTTTGAAGTAAACTGCAATGTTTGTAATGTAACAACACAGAATTCATTGTGTTTAGTTTACCTCTTTCAAAAAGCTGTCTTCCTGGCACTTAAAGACCATGTTAACTTGACCACTTCAATTTCTTGTTTAAAATAAAGAATAAAGCTCTGCAACTTTAAAGGTAATCCTGAAAGTGTAAGAATCAACCAAATATGACTTAACATTTGGAACTACCTTTGAAATCAAAACTGCAAGCTCCAACTCGCAATGCACCTGTTGATAGTTACAATAAAATTACTTATGTTTACTTACTTTGAAGAAATATTACTTACAAATGTGACACTTTAAGTGTTTTTCATACAACGTTATCGTATTGTTCAAATATAATAAATAAAACACAATTCACCACCACCGGTGCCCCCACATTTATGTTACGAGTTACGTTATTTTCTGACATTTGTAATTACGTTATGTCGTTATGTTAGTTATACGTCATTAAAGTTACGTTATGTCATATTTAGGAATCATATTTAGGCACAATTTTGGGGTTTGGTGATTTTCATGATTTATTTGAGGTTTTGCAACTAAACTCAAATTTTAATTTCTAAGCATTTTTTATGTAATAATAAATGTTTCCAAACACTTTCAAGTTAAAAATGTATTGAAAATTACGTTACGTTACCTTACGTTCTGTCCAATTTGACAGTTTCGTTTCATGTGAATTGGTTAGAAATCGAGACTAACCCGGCGTCAAGATATTATTATTCCTTTTTTACTGCAAAAGTAAAGCAGTGTAAAATTAATTAATAAAATGAAGCAGAAACTGTTAGACGGATTGAAAGACTTGGGGTAATTATGTCCTAACCAATTATACTTATCCAAACTTGCATTTCAGTTATTCTGGCCCCCTTGTTGAGAAAACTAGTTTTGATTCTGCCTTGCAAGAGGGATCAAAAAGTGTAGAATTCACCAAGTTGGTGAATTTTTTAACAAATGAGTTACGCACATTGCTTAACATTGATGAGGAAGTCAATCCAATATCAAGCCCAGAAGATTCTGTATCTTTTGTTATGGAAGTTAGTTCCTTTTTGAAAGAATTAAGTACTTAGATTTTGTTGCATGTTTTACAATTCCTATACTATTAATGGTTGTAGATTGCCCTTATACTGCATTAACACAAGGCCATATATCAGACCGTCTAGAAAGTCAACAAGACAAATTATTACTTTTAGACTACTTATCCACTGAACTAATGGCTGCAAGGATATTACAAGAAAAAAAGCCTGACAAAAAGTTTGAACTAAAACTGGTAATTAAATTATGAAACATCATCAAATTATTATTGTTACCAATTTGCAGCAAGAGACTGAAGAGGCTGCTAACATGAGGAAGATTTTAATGACTTTGAGGTTTCATAAACCTCCCCCAAACATCACTATCCCGCAGTTATTCCAAAAAGTTTGCCCAACAGTGCAAACTACTGTTCAAAAAGTTGGAAATGAATTAGTTGGGAAACCTGCATTTCAGGGAACTCTTTCTGACAAGCAGTGGGAAACATTAAATGGAGTTCAGAAGGACTTAAACAATGAATATAAAATTAGAAGAGAGATGTTGTTGACAAGGTTGGACGTCACTATTCAGTCTTTTCAGGTGAGCACTCATTTTAGTTATTAATTAATTACTTAGTCTGTTTTTGTTGTTACAGTGGTCTGATAAAACGAAAGGTAAAGACGAACTATTCGAAAAAGTCTACACAGAAAAACGAAAACGCTTAAAAACCGAACCGGAGGTGGAACTTGCCGACTTATTAGCCGCAAGAGACGACATTGCCATTATCGAAAAGACAAGTAGCTCGTCTGTGCGAAAAAACACAAAGTCATCACTAAATAAAGTTATCATTGGACAGGTGAAAAACCTTGATTTTTTTAACACAGAATTACAATTTTCGTTTTAGGTTCCTGATAGGGGCGGTCGAACCTCCGAACAAGCGCCTCCCCCACCTGAAATGCCATCGTGGCAGCAACGCACCCCTGGGCCCTCTGGCGGCGGCAGAGGAAGAGGCGGCGGTAACTTCTCTCGCAACGACAATAGGCAAAACTACTCGAGAGATTCGGGAAGTTATAGTGGAAGTTACTCTGGAAATCAAGGTGGTTATGATAATTATAAAGGCACTAGTCAAAGCGGTGGCCGCAATTACGGTTACGACGATTATAACCAGGGTCGCAGTTTTGATAGTGCAGGTACCTACGGTGGCAATCACACCAACCCTGGTTATAATAATGAGAGAAGGGGGAATTACAGCGGAGGTCGAGGGAATTATAACGATAATAAAAGTAGTTACGATAATAGGAATTTTGATAGCGCAGGTAGTTACTCCACGAGTTATGAACAAAATTCGAAAAGGCCGAAAACTTACGATTCGTTTCAACAAAACAGAACAACTTATGCTGATCAGTATGTGCAAGAGGAACAGCATAATCAGCAGTACCACGGAAGGGGCAATTATCGAGGGAGAGGCAGAGGGCATTCGAATTACAACAGGGGAGGCAGGAATCACTATTAAACTTGTCGCAAAAAATTCAGATTTTGTGCTCTATTATTATTAACAGTTATTTTAAACTGTATCACTAACATTTGAAAGATTGATATTATATTTAAAGATTTGATTAAAGTACTGATGCATAATAAAACTTCTTTGATTAGTTTCAAAACCGATACCAAGTAAGCTCGATTAAAATAAATTTATTTTTTAAAATTAAGTTGCACAATACAAAAGTTAAATTAAAATTCATAATAAAAATCTGTAAGTAAATAAATTATCCTAATGGTTTAAAAAAAGATGTGACACTCTTGTTAGCAGTTTGAGTTTTGGTTTTACCCGACTTAATTTTAGACTGTTTCTTTACAGGCTTAACAGTATTAATAGCATTAATCTCTAAATGAATTTTTTTCGCCGTGTGATAATCCATGTGGCTACTCATTTCCTCAACTTTAATTTTTTTATTACATTCTGTGCACGTCTCCGTAGGACCTGTTGGTTCTTCTTGCTTTGTGAAAAATGTCGTCAAAGTATTATTACTATCAACTTGTTTCCTTTTTCGAGTTTTTCTTTTAGTGGAATCAACAGTTTTTTTAGTAGTTGCGGTTGGAGGAGTCTTGACAGTTGAATTTGGGGGAACATTTTCACTTTTTGAGAGGTTTAATGCAAAATGATAATCTTGGTGAGATAATATTTCAAAAATTGGTATTCTTTTCTTACATTCGCTACAGGTTTCAGTTGCTTCTTCAACTGTCATTTCAGAATTGTTATCTTCAGTGTTGTTTTGCTGTTCAATTAGCGGCTCTTGCTCCTCGTTTCCATCTTTGTCATTATCAAAAAACTTGACAAAAAATGAAGACGTGGGTCTTTTTATTTCTTCAACATTTTCAGTATCATTTGAAGTCTCTGAATATTCCATTTCATTTTCATTATTATCTTTAATTCTATATGAGTCATCGTAAAAAACAAAATTACTGGAGTCTTCCTCTAATTCTTGCGTTGGTTGGTCGTAAACACTTTGTTCTTCCACTTCAGAATTGCAACTATTTTCTACCGACTTTTTTGGTGGTCCGACTTGGAAAAAGGATGTGATTTGTCTAACATTCTTAATGTCCTCAAAATTAGAAGCATTTAGCCCCAAAAACTTCAGGTGGAAAGTACCGTCAGGTTTGCGACAAAATCTTTTGATGACTTCAAAAGCCCCATGAGCTATTTTCTGTTCATTATATGACACCAATGGATGTGTTCTTGTACTGTTTACGTCTTTTTTGTTAACTTCCTGACAAAAACTTACAACCATTTGTTTGGCTTTTCGGTTATTTTCTTTCAAATCCTTATCTAGTCTTTCTGACATTTCTGCTGCAAGTTTGCCAAGCCAGTGTTGAACGTTTTCCTCTGTTATTAACGCTGTTTTTCCGGGAAAATTTTTGCAGCAAGCAATGGATTTTGCTATTAATTTTGTTGTGACCGGTTCTGAATCTATGCCCCTAGCGATGTTGTATAACCAGTTTCTAAATTATTGCACTGTTTAAACAAAATTAGTTGATTTAGCGCCTACTTACCCAGTTTTCTCGTCATATTTTTGTACCAGAACCTTCTCAGGAATTTTCGCTAACTGACCCATAGTAGTTACCTGAAAATCCTCTGAAAGGGTCTGCCCGAATTTCCCCCCCAAATTCTTCACTTTATGAATTGGTGTGGTTTCAAAGAATTTCTCAACAGCGTCTTGAGGCAAAATGGTTTGTTTGTTTGGTTTATGCAAGCTGCATACTAGTTTTGCTAAAATTTTATTGTGGGCAATTCCTGCAGAACACTTATATCCTGCAACAGTAAAAATGCAGACTTGATTTTGTTATTTTTATCGTTTTAATACCGGTAACTTTAAAAACTTCATGACGAATTTCTTCAGTTACAAGGCCTCCAACGGCGAGTTTTAAATTATGTATTGAGTATTCTTTATTAGTGATCGCATTATGTACAAAATCTTCCAATTCACAACCCACGACAAAAGTGTTACTTAGATTACTTAAAGTTAATTCGTCTAGGCCTTTCTCAATCCTTTTTTCTACAATTTCAGTGATGTCAAGATAGGCCTCGTCGACTGAAGCTCGTTCAAGAAGTGTGGTAAAAGTTAGTAAAACATCCGCAACCCTTTTCCCCGCGTCGCGATACCTAAAGTGAAAAATATTTTGATTTTTGACAGTATGTAGCACCATCTTCCGAGATTTTTTTCACAAAATCGCATTTAATAAACTAAAGATTTCGCAACATCTTTTAAAAATTCTCACTTGGTTAAATCCGCTTTTCCACGAAGCTCTGGAACCTGCACTAAATTAATACTTGGACATTTCTTCTTTGCCTCAAATCCCCTCATGTGTCTTGTAACCCCCTCGTCTCGTGCAGGATAATTAACAGCAATAATGCTGTAAATATGACAAAAATGAGTTTGAATAAATGTTTTAAGGCGTGATTACCCTCCTCCTTTCCAAGCATTATACTGAACCACTGCTATTGGTTTTCCCTCCAACGCTGGATTTAATTTCTCTTCTACCTGGCAATAAAAACAATCCATATCTACTAAAACGACAACACGATCCGTAGGCCCCATTTTAAGAAATCAACTAAAAAATTCTTTAACCTAAAATTCCGAATGTTTAAACAGTTTTATTAGTATAATTATCAGTTATGTATGTACATATTACCAGAGTTTTTTGTTTTGCACGACAATTATTGGTTATTTGAAAAATTTGTCATTTATTTCTCTGAGAAATTGTTTAAATAATATTTTTGCTTTTTATTTCCCACCATATTTCTGCAAAAAATTTCGACAGAAAAATAATAATAATAAATTTGACAAGTGTCAAAAAAATCCCTAAAAACTATCATAACCTCAAACGTTAAACTGTCATTTTTCAGAAAGTGATTGTTGACAAATTGATACGAAATTAGAGAATTTTAGATATGCCCTCAAAAAAGAAAAAATACAATGCCAGATTTCCCGCAGTAAGTCAATCTAAATTATTGCAACTGTAAATTCATTTTTGCAATTTTTAGGGCCGAATTAAAAAAATAATGCAAACTGACGAAGAGGTTGGAAAAGTGGCACAAGCTGTACCAGTTATAATCTATATCCTTTTAAATATTATACGGTTTTTTATTTATTTTAAGAGAAATGTTTTATTTTTATACAAAGCCGTTAATTTTGTTAGTTTCACTGATCTAATCTACATGCATTATTATCCTTGTAATTTTACAAATTTGTTTGATGCGGGTTCAAAAGTGTATATTTTTTAATTTCCTTGAAGTTGAACTTCTTTATCATAGCTGGTATTCCATTGCAGTGAAAAATGCAGATATGATTTTTATCAGTTCAGTGGTATTCGTAAAATGAAAACAAATCTGCAATTTCACTTTTCTAGAATATCAGACTATATTTTCCAAACAAGTAACATAAAATATGTACTTGGCAAATAATTTCCTTAACGCTGCTTACCCAGAACGTTGGAGTTATTTGTGGAGTCGTTGCTGACGAAATCAATGCAAATAACGCAGTCCCGAAATGCAAAGACTTTAACTCCGTCCCACATGAAGCAATGTATATTATCAGAAAGTCGTTTTGACTTTTTAAAAGACTTAGTGAAAAATATTCCCGATGCAAGTGCACAAGAAGATAACAAAAACAACTTGATGTTTGAAGCACAACAGCTTCAGGAATCTGAATCAAAACAAGAGTCGCAGCCTGCATTAACCGTGGAAGTTTCAAAACCGGAAGTACCGGCGACTTTGTACACAGAACAAAGTACGTCCACGGCAAGAACACCAGTTATTCAATATGGACCTAAAGTAGCGCAAGTAGAGACGAAAAAGTTCAATTTCTCAGTTAATAACTTGATTGAGCCGGCGAAGGAAGGACCCAAAGTGCGCATTACTGTAGCAGAACCCGTACCTGTGCCGCCTTTAGTACCAACTAGGGGTGTACCCTCTAATAGTAGTGTCCAAGAAAATACACCACAAGTTCATTGCGATAACATCCCGCCTCTTATACCCATTTCACACCATTATTACAATCAGAATACTGAAGACAATTTGTGTATTGATGAAGATTACGATAATTAAAAATTTCCTGACATCAGTTTTTTGTTCAATTAAACGTAATTCTACCTACCTGACGGCTTTACCGATAACCTATTTACAGTGAAAACATACAATTGTTATTAAAATGTTTTGTATTGGGTAAAAAAATACATTAGTACATTATGTACAATTTTAAAAATATTAAAGTATTATAATCAATACCTTTTATACATACTACTACTTTTTTAATCCTCAAAAAGGACCTTAATGAGCCTGCCAAACATTACTTTTATAAGTTAGAAATTAAATAATAGTCATTAAATTATTAATTACATCATGTTTTTTACATTTATGGGCACAGTCCTCAACACGGCGAATATAATTTGAACTATGGAAAATAATACAAGGCGAACTTACATTTAATATTGCAAATTGTAAGTGGAGCGATTAATTAAACTTAAGTAAGGTAACTACAATTTACATTTGTTACAAAAAACCTATTCAAAAGAATAAATAATGAAAAATAAGTTAATTACAGACTTTTTAACGCAACACAATTCTGTTTTAGAAGTGTTAGATAATACAAACGCATTCTTAGGCTACGAACGACTTTATTCATCTGGTAAAACTAAGCAGAAGTTTTTTTTTATTAATATTTTTTTCATTTCCAACGTTCAACATGTCCAGTGTATACGATATATTGAACACTCAGAACAAAATGGTAGAAAAAAGGACTTATTTTTCCACAATGAAAGAATCCTGTTGAAAAATGGAGATTTGTTGTCAAAAATATGTCGATTTATTAAAATTTGCTAAGCATGCATATAGAAACAAGGTTTTATCATCCATAGCAAATGTTAAAAACAAATAATTCATAGACCCAAAATAAGAAATGCAAATATGTAATGTTTTGTATTTGTTCAAGATAACATGTCAGGAATTTCCTACTGATTCATACTTTTTTAAGTATAGAGATTGCATTTTACAATAGAAATAGTTTTTCCATTCACGCAATTCAAGTGGCAATAGAGATGTTACAAAAATTCTCCATCAAAGTAACTCATCCATCCAGTTCTCAAGTTATAATGCATAAATTGTTTTAAATCTATAACAAATTTTCACTTTTCATGTTCTAAATTGCTTCCAGGGTCTTACGCAAATCGTTTTTTTTTTTTTTTTGTACAAAACATTTATTTATGCAACCTCGAAAAATGAAGTTGCGATGTTGCCATTTTCTGTATAAAAAATTTGTATATGTCGTGCCACAGCCATCGCCACTGCTATCACATTTCACGATGTTTTTTTTTCTGTATGAAAGAGTGGAGTTTCTTGGCTCAAAATTTGTCAGTAGGGTTCAGTTGTTACACATATTCTTCTTTTACACAGAAATCAAATGTTTCTGACCTATTTCAAATGTTGCGACGATGGTTATGACACAGGTATTAAACGGACGTTACAAAATAAAGTGTTGTTTTAATGATATCATTTTTTAATAAATAACAAATATGATTCTCCGGGTATGTATGCACATAAAAAGTTATAAAGCAAAGAAACTTGAAAAACCACAATCGATTCGTATCGCATTTCTTGGCAGTGTGACAACAAATTGTGTAAACTTTAAAAATGCTTTCTCAGGGGTCTCATGTTTAAACTGTTAATATCATTGAACGGACAAAAATGATACAGAATTGTAAAATTTGTGAAATAGTTGAAGTAACACACGGTATAATTTCGTGGGTATGCGAATATTTCAATGATAATATACGGTTCAACTGGACATGTTGTCTGTACCTATCTTAAATGAGGCGTTTAGAATTAAAGTGGCCTAAAGCTTAAGCGACATTCTAATAAAAGTCACAATTTTCCCTTTTAAAATTTTATTTAGTTTCAAATACAGTCACTTTACCATTACTATTTTTTATTTAAAACGTTAAACGTGTTTAACTCAAAATTTGAAAAATAAGCTGTTGGTCGGAGAGTAAAACTAAGTCTATAAATTTTGTGGGATAGGCCATTTTAATTCCAAATGCCTTAACTATGTATGCATAAAATAAATTAGGAGAAATGAGAAGGTTTTGTACTATATCACGGAAACTTTCAAATATATACAAATGAAAAAAATCCTTTTATAAAAATTAAAGCTATCAGCTGTACTCGTTGCCTTCATAAAGATTTTCGCAAATCTCAAGCAGTCTTAAAATGGGGTTAATATTATAAGGAAAAAGATCTTTCGAAACAAGTCGATCGATTTGCATTTTAAGTCTTATCAAAACTGTCATTGTATTGTCAAGCTCATTAGTCCTCGACGCTCCTCCCTCATAACAACTATTAACAAAAACGTCCCAATTTCTCCTCGTATACTTCAAAAACCGCAACAGATACAACAAGAAGCATGTTTCATTGCTAACTAAATAATCTAATAGTACGTCTGAATCATGACTAACGATTTTCAAAAACTCTATAAACGAATGGACCGGATTCAACATCGCGATAAAATCAGGAGCTAAAGCGTTCTGATACGAAATCCCCGTTTTTATATCCAGAGTACAAACCATCGCTTCAATCATGTAATCGTCCTGATCGCTAAACAAGTGGATGAGTATTTTCGAAAAGGGGGTTTCGGGATGAAACTCCAAACTGACTTTGATGAAAACGTCGACTTTCTTGAGCACGTCTCGGATCGACCGCGCGATTAATTGCATGTCATGTGAAAAATCATAGTCCTCTGACCCCACGCTAGAGTCCGAACTGTCAGACCTCGTCTCCTTAATCGTAATAGCCACGCTTTTCAACACCAAAAGGGTCATTTTTTGCAAGAGAGTCTTATCGATATTGGATTGCGCTGGTTGCGTGCTCGGAATGGTCCCCACAAAACTGTTAACAGTGTACCCCTCCGACCTCCTATAGGGGAGACTATCAAGCAAGCGGAAGTCTTTGACGTATCGCACGATCAAGTGGGCGAGTTGACACGTATCCTCCGGGAGCATATCCTGCAAGGCTAGAGTGCTTCCATAGCATAGAACCTCGTTAAATAGGGACAGAAGCTGTTTCCAAATGATTGGTGGGAGATTACTGTTTAGCAACCCGACGAAATTCTCCAAATGGGCGTAAAACGGCTTCGTGTCGATCACACTCAAGTTGGCCTTGACGGAAATGGTGCTCTCCCAAAGGGCTAAAAACGTCAGAACGCAAGTCTGGGCTTCAACCGAGGTGTTCTGGGTTATTAAATACTGGATTTTGCTGATCAATTCCGGCCATTTCGACTCTAGACTTTTGATAATGAGGCCTTTGATACCGGAAGTGTCATAACTTTCAGCGTCACTGTACGGCACAGTGACGCAATTGATGTTAATATCGACGTTTTGGCTGCTGCTACCCGCCACGTCCTGGCTTTGGGGCTCCTCCAAGACATGAATATCGACGTTTTTCCACTCGACTACCCGTTTTATGATCTCAAGAGCGAAATTCATTTTGACATAGTCGGGGTTTTCGATTGTTAAAAAACTGACTATCGTCTCGAGCCACTCGTTGTTTATGTTTGTTTTTGCAATAATGAGAAAACTACTAAACACTTTCGCTGCCAGATAATTTACGTATTTGTCTCTAGTCTCACAAAGCGACAAAATCTGCTCAATTAAGTTATGCTCATTGCGTACAAATGTGTTACAAATCGTCACGATTTTCGAGCAAATGTGACCGTTATTGTTTTGTTTCAAATAAACGTCGAATAACAATTGCACGTTTGAGAGAAATTGTAACACTTGTGGAGTGGACCATTCGCTCAACATCGCTAATCTGCTGCCGTTTTCGTCCATAATCTGGTGCCCCTCGAAGGGTTTCCTCAACACGCGCTCGGGAATGTCGCACAGACACTGTTTCACCAAATAACTGTAAAAAGTCTCAGTTTCTTCCTCGTCAACCACCATCTGTTGCCTGTTTTCGGTCTCCTGTTGGCCCTCATAGTCGCAAATGAGAGGCGCGATGTCGGGCGCGGGTTGTATGGAGATGTTTTCGCAAGTCGGGGGGTAGTCCTCTTTGTCTTCAATGAACTTTTGCTCACTGTCATCACTCAGTTCACTAGTCCGAAACACTGACTTGCCCCCGTGGAACTGCGAGTTGACTGTGTTTAGGGTGATGTCGTCTTCGTTCACAGTAGGTGGGTAAGACAAGTGGAGGGTTGATAGGTCGTTCCCCACACCATTTTCTGCTATGTTGTGGATGAAGTCAGGCTCGTCTGGGGCGTCTGGGTTGTCACCTCGTCGCAATTTCTTTTTCAACGGCTGTTCAGAGGCCATTTTATTATCCTGGTGTCTTAGAACCATTAGAACGGGAAAAATGGGCCGAAATGGGAAAAGTTACTAGGGCTGGAAGCCAGAGACCTGGAAAGTGTATCATTTCAATATTGGCACTTTTATCGCTTTTGAGCAACAAATAATACATTAATTGGGTTAGTCTGAGTAAAAGTAAATGTAATTGAATGGTTTGGGAGATGATTTGGGGTTGGTTTTGCTGATTTTTGGGGAAATTCTTACTTGTGTAATTTTTGTGTGTAACAATTTTATCCAGTAGTTAATTCGAGTGTGGCGTTCGTACACTCCAGAGAATCCTTCTGGGGACTTCATTAGTTACCTTCGTTGATAGTAATAAGAGAAAACTTGTTTTAAGGAAATTTTCTTTGAAAACTAGGCTAAAATAAATAAATGTTTTTAAAAAACACGAAATTTATACACACACACAACTCCATTGCGTACAATATGCTGCGCTAGTCAATCGACGACTTGCTTTCATAAGGTGAAACAATTCGTGTTTTTATTATCAAAAAGTTGATCAAACGCGAGAATATTTTTTTGGCAAGCTCAGCATTTGTTGCTTTTTAGTGTGTTATGTTTTTGGAATTTTATTTACTACTTTTTGTAAAACTTTCAGATTAGGTTTTGATTTGCTTGGGTAAAGAATGTGCGACGTTGCCAAGTTGGCGACTACCATTCATAATAAATTGGTTTAATTACATTTTTTCATATTTTGGGACCTTTAATTTGTTAAATGTTTGTTGCAAAAAATGGGAAGATATTTTTGTTACTTTTAAACTGTAATTTGGGGGTTTTACAATTCTATTTTGTTTGGTAATGGATTGAGAAAGATGCGGCAAATTTACGGGAGTCCATTCATTCAATGCGTAACACGGGAGAATACTGGTTATATTAATTTTATTCATTCTGTTCTAGATCGTATCTCATTAATCTGTTTTCGGATATCTCATTTTGAGTTTTTGTAATTTAGGAAAAAAAGAATTAATTAATGATCTGTTTTTCTTTGTAAATAATTTCGACGAGTTCAACGACGTCAATCTCGACAAGAAAGCAATTACCCACATAATAATCATTCTGAAACCTTTTTCTTAACATATCTGTTTTTAATTTTTGCAGGGATATAAACGAATAGAGTTGTGTAGAAAGACATATTTGTTATTTCCTCCCAATAACATCACGGAAATAAAGTGACACTTTATTCTCCCGTTTTTGACTAATAATCTGGTACTTTTTTTGAGAATAAAATAAATGAAAAAATAATTTTTACTTTTAAATGTAATTATTGTAATGTAGTACATAATTGAAAATTTAGCTAATTTTCCTATCAAATCTTCCATATCTTTTTTTTTTCAAAAATTAATTAACGTGTGTATTATTTTCATAAATCATAATACTTGTGAAAGTGTTCTAGCTAAAATTTAATTTTTTTCAGCTATTTCTGAGAGAGAAACATACAAACATACTTTCAACTAAAACGGCAGTGCCTCAGGTTTAATAAATTTCTTGCAGTAAAAAAATGCATCAAACTACAAAATTTTTAATTGTGCAATAAATGAAAATGAAAAAACTTTTTTTAATAAAATAATTGGGTGGCAGTGTTTTACTTTTTACATATTTTTTTTCAATAACAATAAAAAAAAACACATGAAAGTGGCGTTATCTCGCGATTGTAATGGAAACAAATGTGTACCACGTGACCGCTCTCAACAGCTGCGAAAGGTATCTACTTTGTGACTCATTGTACCCAAATTACACTCAGTAGGGGAGTTGTAAAAATGGCTGCCAAAAGTCATCAATGAAGTGTATTTTAAATGGCCAAATAATGTTGATTATTTACTATTGATCTGCTTGACAAAGGTGATTTATATTCGAATTGTTTTTAACACGTTTATTTTTGGTCTTTTCGTTGCGTTAGTCGGCAAGTTGCCCCATTCTGAGACGATGTTTATATATAGGTTAAACTTCGTCATTTTAGTTTTAATATTAGAGGATAATATCCTGTTTTAGCAATGGGATATTTACATGCATCATTTATTAACGTAACAGTAAAAACAGCTGTAAGTGCAAATTCATGACTAGAAAATCAAAAATAAAGTAAAAAAATTCATCAGAATCGGGAGTGATCTCTCATTGAACAGTTGTTATTTATGTTGTTTGTGGCTTTTTAATCAGTGTTTACCTCTGTGATGTTTCAAGTCGAATTGAAAACACGTTTAATTGCTTTGTGTGTGTGCTTTTTGGTGCTTTTCTCGCACAAGGATATGCGTAATTAACTTAAGTATTTTTCAATTTGTAATCTTTATTAATGAATGATTGTTTACCCTTTTATCTGGATGGATTAGCATTTTTTATAAATAGTCTGATTAGGACTATAAAACAAACTTTAATTATAATCAGAAATTTTCCTTATTTTGACACTTGGCAGGTGACAATAATTAATTAATTCTATTCAATAATTGAGTAGTTTTGAGGTTGTTTAGTCATTTCAATGGTGGCATGTTTCAGATGGTACTAATGCAACAGTCAAATGAGTGAAAACAGCGTGGGGGCCATGCCGGGCGTGGCAGGGGCTGGGGAGAGACGTCTTCGACAACTAGAAGCTCTGTTTCTTGGGGGCCCTGTTCTGGCAAAGGGACAGAGTTTCAGTATTGAAACTCTCATAGACATTCTCATCGTTCTCTACGATGAGTGCTGTAACTCTAGTTTACGTAAAGAGAAAACAGTGTCAGATTTTATAGAATATGGTGAGTCTTTTTGATGATCAATTACATTTATAACTTTTGTTTATTTTCTAGTAAAACCTGTAGCTTCTTCAGTAAAGTCTCTTAGATTAACTAGAGAAGATTTTGAGATAATTAAAGTCATTGGTAGAGGAGCTTTTGGAGAAGTTTGCGTAGTTAAATTTAGGGGCTCAGAGAAAGTATTTGCAATGAAAATTCTTAACAAATGGGAGATGCTTAAAAGGGCGGAAACTGCGTGTTTTAAAGAGGAGAGAGATGTTTTAGTGTATGGAGATAGAAGGTGGATTACACATTTACATTATGCATTTCAAGTAGAATTTGCCGGTGTTTTTACTTTTCGAATTGATGTTTCTTTTTAGGATGAGTCTAATTTGTATTTAGTGATGGATTATTATTGTGGGGGTGATTTATTGACGTTGCTGAGTAAATTTGAAGACCGTCTTCCTGAAGATATGGCGCGATTTTACATTGCTGAAATGGTTTTAGCCATAGATTCGATACATAAACTTGGATATGTACACAGAGACATTAAACCTGACAATGTCTTACTGGACGCGAATGGCCATATTAGACTAGCAGATTTTGGTAGTTGTTTGAAATTAAATGACGATGGAACTGTGCAGTCCAATGTTGCGGTCGGTACCCCAGATTATATCTCTCCAGAGATTCTTAGAGTGAGTTTTTTTGTTTGTTTTAATGCATCTTACCAAGAAATTTTTAAAGGCTATGGAGGATGGACAGGGCAAATATGGTCCAGAGTGTGATTGGTGGTCTTTAGGTAATAGTTTTTTAATCATAAATTTTGTTGTACTGACAATTTGTATTTTAAGGTGTTTGTATGTATGAAATGCTGTTTGGTGAAACGCCATTTTATGCAGAAAGCTTAGTGGAAACTTACGGGAAAATAATGAACCATAAAAACTGTTTTGATTTTGCGACTGACGTAGATGTGTCTGATGCGGCAAAAGATTTAATCAAGCAATTAATTTGTAGTCAAGAATTTCGTTTAGGACAGAATGGAATACAGGATTTTAAGGTCAGTTTCTGCAATCCTTAAAAATAGAGATGCTTTAAGGCTTTAATTTTAATTATAAACGGCATTGAAATTTGTTGGAAAGGTGCGCTTAATTATTTGCTGCATTGTATCAGTTATAAACCACAATGGACGTAATATCCGGTCCTGTGCAACTACTACAACCATTTTTAGTGAACACCAATCTCATGTAAATTTTATAATAAATAATGAGACTTGATTATCCATATTATAATAATGATTAGGATGTTGGGAATCAATCATTATGCAAATTGAAAAATAAAAGGGTTAATTTGTTTAAATTTTGTGTACAATACAATTTTTGTATTCTGTAAGACAAAATAAATAAGGAAAAAACAAAGGAATTTGCGGTTAAAATGAATTTCACAATTTTTTGCGTTTTTATTTATTTATTGTATTGCTATTATTTTGGCAGATCAGTGCGATAGATTTAGAATCTGTTTATGTAATTGTAATGCAATTAATGTTGCATTCATAAACTTATTTGATATTTTTTTTGAGCATGTGTCTAGTAATTATTAAATAGTTGATTTCGGTTTACAGAACAAATTTATTTTACTTGTGGCGAATTTACAGTAATTTGAACTGCAATCTGATTGTCATATTATCATTAATTTTACATTTTTTGGCAGTGTAAAAAACATCTTTCTTTATTTAATCTTTAGTAATTCTGAATAAAATAGTTATAAAATTGATTTCTGTAAATCGGCCTGTATTTGTAAACAAGTAGTGTTATATCTTTCTTATTTATTATACAGAATAAAGTGATGCACAAAATATGCAGATGAATATTAGCCTTTCATTCATTCTTGGAGGTTAGATTTATTGATGTTTTTTTTTTTTTCATTTTTACAAAAATAAATTTAAAAACCAACATTGTATAAAATGTACAGGGGTCTGGATTTAAAAATAATTAAGTATTCCATTGATTTGTCAGTGATTTCTTTTATATGAAAAATGCAAATTTTATTCGACCGTAATTACACAAGAGGTTTTTTTATTCAGATAAAATTTAATTTTTTACGAGAATTTGATTGCTTCGTAAATTGAAAATTTAAAATTAAATTCGTTTTAACCTATACTTCTCCAGTTTACGACGCTCCTGATCATTTGATCTGTGAATTCGTTTAGGAGTATAAATGCCTTCAGGTGTACCAAATTTTATAATTTTATCTATTCTGAAGTACTGGGAAAAACCAATTTAAAAAACACACCTCTATCAGGAGGTGTGTCTCCTTTACGCAGCATTTTTCGATACATGTTTATAAGAAACTTTTGTCTTAAAATTAAATGTTCTTTTACCTGTTTTAATTTGTAACAATAAAAACCGAACACTACCTAATAATTAATAATTGCTTTTGCCAGTGATGATGCAGTTTTTATGAAATCGTGGATACATCAGGCCTCCTTTGTAATCTTGGTTTCAAATGTTTTAAATTTTGAAACTGTAAAGCCAAAGGTACATCAACCTGACCATCTTGGTATGAGTCCCATATGGTCGATTCTGCCGATGGTGAAGTACCACCGCGACGGGTTTAAGTGGTGAAGAACATACACATTAAATCATCTTTTCGGTGGCACAGTCGTTGCAATACACATATTTAAACATGGTTGCAATAGTTTGTAAGGCTTTGATGTATCTAACTGTGATGTTTCTTTAGTAATCTGAGGCGAAACGCAATTAAAAAAAATTAAAATTTTGATAAATACTGAGAGTTTGTTGGCTTGATGGTTTTTTTCATTTGTAGAACCATCCATGGTTTGAAGGAGTCGACTGGGATGGTATTAGAGACAGTAATGCGCCTTATATTCCCGAAGTTTCAAGTCCAACAGATACATCAAATTTTGACGTAGACGATGCTGATATCCGATTGTCGGATGCCATGCCTCCAACTGCCAATAATGCCTTTACTGGACTTCATTTGCCTTTTATAGGCTTTACTTTCACTCAAGGAAGGTAGATAGTGTGAATGTTTAGTTTTTTGTTGTTTCAAACGCGAGTTTTAGTTGTATTTGTGACTTGAGTAATCTTTATACGAGTATAACGAACAATTTAGCCGACAAGCAAAATAAACGAAATAATGGCGAAATTGTGAGCTTAAATTTAAACGAAGAAAAGGAAATGGATAAGAGGATGTCGCCCGACGGAACTAGAAAATTGCAAGATGAAATCAATACTTTAACTAAAAGAAACTGTGAGTTGGAGTCACAATTGAGAAGTTTTGAAAGTGGTCATTCGAAAGATTTATTTATTGATACTTTAGATGGTGCTGAAAGTGGTAAATGTCATATTTTTTCATTTAATTGGGAGTAATGATTGCCGTTTTGTAGTTAAAGTCAAAGAATTAGAAAAATTGAATCGTATTTTAAAACAAGAGAAGGAAGAAGCAATGAAAGAGAAGCTAGACCTTCATGAAAAGCTCAAATTTCAAGACAAGGAACTGAAAGATGCGTTAGCACAAAAGAAATTGGCGATGGCTGAGTATACGGAAGTTTCTGATAAGTTGTCCGAATTGAGGCAACAGAAGCAGAAATTTAGCAGACAGGTTAGAGATAAGGAGGAAGAATTGGAAGCCGTCATGCAGAAAGTCGATTCGCTGAGGAATGATATAAGAAAGGCGGAGAAATTGAGGAGGGAGTTGGAATCGCGAATCGACGAAGCTTTGGCTGAAGCAACGAAAGAAAGGAAGTTGAGGGAACGGTCGGAGGAATATTGTCGGCAAATGCAAGCAGAGTCGGATAGGTTGAGAGTGAGGAGTGAATTGGGGCCTAGAGATCAACAGGATAATTTAAGACTTAAAGCAGAACTGGAAAAATTAGAGGTAAGGGAAAGATTCTTCCTGCAAACTGTCATTTAGTTGTTAATGATACAGCAGTCGTAAAAGCTTGTTTGACGGAGGAAATTAAACGTATTAGGTCTGATTTTTTTTTGATAATCCTACATTTAACCTACATATTTTTAATAATAATTTAATAAACAAAGTACTTCATAACTAGGATGATAAAATTGATAAAATTAAGTTGTAATTGTTTCATTGAACTCTATTACTTTGTTGTTTGTTTTTAGGTTCAGTACAACGAAAGTTTAGCGCAACAACAGGCGAGGTTCAACCTGGAATTATCCTCTCTTAGGGAACAACTCCACGAAGCCGAGTCTCATCGAGAACTCCTTGAGAGAGAAGTATGTTTTCATTCTCTTTTAAAATTTTGTTTTGTTTTTATTTTCTATTATTTCGTTTTGACACATCTAGGTAGTCGAACTTAAAGAGAAACAGGAGAAACACCGTATAGAGGCTCTCTCCGATTCTGAACAAACGATTGCCGAATTGAATCGTCGAAATGAACGAGACAAACAGCTTTTATTGGACGATAATCATAAACTTATCGCAAATGTTGAGTTTGTGAGTTTTCTTTCCAATTTTTGTTTTTTTTTTTGATAAAGTTTTTTCCGATTATAAATTACGAAATGTAATTATGGGTGTGGTTTTGTAGCTTACCGAATCTGTGGAACGTTTGCAATCAGAACGGGCGACCCTGGAAGCGGAATATGAACAGTTGAGGAATAAACAAGAAGCGTTGGGTCAATGGGAATCGCAACTTGCGGAGATCATACAGTGGGTTAGTGATGAAAAGGATGCTAGGGCTTATTTACAAGCTCTCGCTACTAAAATGACTGAAGAGTTGGATTATTTGAAACATGCTGGTAAGTATCACTGTGTTAAATGATTTTTAATATTAATTTTTTGCTTCGAGGTGTTTCAAATGCTATGGGAGGTACCGATAAGAACTGGAGGAACCGAAGGTCGCAAAAGCTGGATAAGATGGAACTCCTCAACCTTCAGAGTTCATTACAATCTGAAATACAAGCTAAACAGGCTATAAATGAGGAGTTGAGTAAAACAAGGGAGGCCTTATTAGAAGCTCAAAAGTAAGACATTACGAGTTTAGTAATTTTTACTTTATAAATTTTGCAATTTTACAGAGATTTGAGAGATTCAAGGCAACGAAACGAGGCCTTTGCTTTAGATCTCAAAAGGAAAGAGAAACAAATCAAGGAGTTGCAAAGTCGTCATGATTCAGAAGGATGTAAGTTCATAAATCTGTTCATAGTTTATAGTTTTCGGTTAATTTGGCACAAGAGCGTTCTATTTCTTGTCTTTCATTTATTCACGTGATGCTTGCTTAACGTGTTTTAGTTTCAAGTTGTTTGATTTATTTGAAACAGTGAATCAAACGATTTTAATAAGCACTGTAGCCACTATTAAAATTTTTAAGTTAAATTGGCTGCAGTGTATATTAGCACTCCCAGGCGGGTGGTAATTATTTATATGTGTATGTACAGTCGGTGCGTGGTTGAAACATCTACCTCTGGTCGTTGGGATTACGTCGTGCTTCTGGGGAATATTGTTACTCTTCATGCGTCTCTACAATTGATTAGTATGATACGATTCGAAAAACATTTTTACATATCTATTTTAGAATTTTAATACATCCAGAAAGTGTCTTGGAATGAGGTGATAAATAATGTATATAACGTGTGAAATAAAATCAAATACAATTTTTTAACAAACATTAAAGTATTATTCACACTGGCAAGAAAGCAAGTTATGGAAGAAAGCTATCTTGTGTCGCTTAAATTCTTCTAACACTAAAGATTCTGCTATTGATGTAAAGTGGCACAATATTAACATAATACAAAATTATGACACAAATGCAATTATTATTAACAGTTCATTGGTCCTCTTCTTTGAATCTGACACTGTTGCCTTAAAGACTTAATTTATTTATATTGAATTTTGATCATTTTGCTGCAAAATTTTTGAACCAAAGATAGTTTTCTTCTTCTTGATATTCCTTCTCAGTTAGTTCACTACTCAAGATTTTTAATTATTTAAAATATTGTGTGCAAGTATCATTTAAAGAATGATGTTTGATTATTACATGCAGCAAGTGTTGTTGGAATTTCGTCTTTCATCAAGCGTCACGTCAAGGGTTAGTTTATTGAAACGTTTTTTTAGCTAAAAGCCTGTTTTATAACTATAAGTAGAGCGGATATGTGCACGCATTAGAAAGAACTGTGTACTTTTTAGAAGATTTACATCGTCCATTATTTTAAATCCTCGATTGAAGATACATAGAGCTTTCATTCATCCGCTCTGCTGTATTGCGTTGCTTTATTATTTATCCTTGTTGATTACTGCTTGGAGTGCTAATATCATGTTTCCATTAATGTATTTTTGTTTTGCAGCTAATTCAGTGCGCTGTTTCTCTATTATCCCGTTAACTGTTAACGTAGGAAGTCCTTAATAAGAATGCGAATAATTAATGTTAATAATTTTGTTGTTTGCGTTTGAAATAAATTATTTAAATTTGTTGTGAAATGTCTTACAACGGAAGTATTGTAAACTCCTGCCATATGTCACTACCCCTTTGTGTTTTGTTAAAAAAATCGTAGTATTGTGGGGTTCACTATACATTTAACAATTCATCTGTTTGTGATAAACTGATTTGCCAGTCAATGCAGTAATTGTTTTAATATTTTTTTGTGCAGTTTTGGAACGACCTTCATCTCAGATGTCGTACCTGGAACAATTTCTTAAAGAAAACAATCAATTGCAAGTTCAAAGTCAAACGTACGACAACGTACCCGCACTCTTGTACCAAGGAGGCTCAATTGAGTCTGAAGAAGGCGATATCGAAGACAATAGAGCTTTAAGTTTGACAAGTTCCAAGAGTAACTTGTCTGAACTGAGTATGGTATGTTTTTTTTCATCGTTAATTGCAACAATTGTGACTTGATTTTTTTGGTAGCACGATTCCCAATCTCCCATGAAACACAAAAACCATCAATTTTTGGTGCGCACTTTTTCTAGTCCTACAAAATGCAATCATTGCACATCATTGATGGTCGGGTTGATGCGACAAGGAATGGTGTGCGAAATTTGCGGTTTTACCTGTCATACGTCGTGTTGTCCGCATGTACCAGCGATTTGTCCGTTACCTTCAGATCAGAGTGGGTTAAGTAGGTAAAGAAGGGAACATTGTTTTATTCCATTGTTTCAGCTAAAAGGCCGTTAGGAATCGACCCTACTAGAGGCATAGGAACTGCTTACGAGGGCTACGTTAAAGTTCCTAAACAAGGAGGTGTCAAAAAGGGTAATGGGATGGACAATTAATATTGGACGATTTTTGATTTTTTCTTTTTTTCTGTTCTTGTAGGTTGGATCAGACAATTTGTTGTTGTTTGTGACTTCAAACTGTTTTTATATGACATATCAGCTGATCGAAATGCCTTACCAAGTGTTCATGTAGCTCAAGTTTTAGATATGAGGGATACACTGTTTAGTGTTTCTAGCGTTAAGGATTCGGACGTGATCCACGCCAACAAAAAGGACATTCCTTGCATTTTTAAGGTAAGGCCAGGAGTCATTTATTTTCATAACATAGTGTTAGTTCAAAAGTCATAATGTATTTGTATTGTATGTGTATTTGTTAGCGTAATAATCTATCTTTGCAATCCTACAATCTCATTGGTGTATCTTGTGCCCCTGACACCTCCGATTTACACCAGAACACAGTCACAGTTATTCATCTTTTCTCAACCAAGTCTTGGTGGTTGTATTTGATTTATTTCGGTTGTTATCTGCATTTGTTGTTGTGTCAATTTAATTTGCCCAATGAAAAAAATTGGGTCAGTGAAAAATCTGGGGCAAACCTAAAAATTTTCCTGTATGAATCGGGCGGTCGATGCTGTTGCCCATCTATTTCGTTCTTAAAATAGACAGACACAAATAATGAAAATTATCTAACTTGAGAAACTACCTGTCGGTGTTGTGTGCATAAACTACGAAACTGCAATGATAAATATTTAAAAAAATTGAAATTGAACTAACATTTATAACTGTAATATTAATAATTAGGAATTAAAAATTTTGTTTGTTTATAAAAATAATTTTTCAAGTACATTTTCTAACCAGGATTTTTAAACCTTGTTAAACTTTAAACCTAGTAAGTTTCTTTCTACTTTTATGAAAAA